CTGTGATATCTTATGAGAAACTGATGGTACATTCCTCTGTTTAAAATATGTAATAGCTCCTCATAACAACGGTTTAAAGTCTAATCTCTTTAGAAAGTTATGTAAGCTCAGCTTTCCTCCTTTTCATAAATATCTGGTTTCTTTCCAGTGTTAGAAATACTTTTCCATTCTATTATCCAGCTTAACAAGGGAATTCTTGCTCCCCAAATGCTCCCCACTTCATTCTATTTCTTCTGCTTAAAACATCCATTTTGTTTTGCCTCCCTAATGAAACCAACTTACCCTAAAAGGCCCAAGTCTGACAATTCTGTGAAGTCTTCTGAGTCACCATTATTTTTTACTCTATGGCTTCTAGTACTTTGTCTGTGCATGTGTGTATGTGTGTATCCTTATCATGTGTATAGCATGTATCACATTGTACAGGTGATATTTGGCAATTATTTTAATTAAGAATTGAGATAATACAAAATATGTTATGTGATGATACTGAAATGAAACTAGAAATCAATAATGAAGATATCTGAGAAATCTCAGATATTAGGAAATTAAACAACCTTCTGTCTGGGCGTGGTGGCTCATGCCTGTTATCCCAGCACTTTGGAAGGCCGATGCTGGCAGATCACCTGAGGTCAGGCGTTCAAGACCAGCCTGGACAACATGCCAAAACCATGTCTCCACTAAAAATACAAATATAAGCCAGGTGTGGTGGCATGCATCTGTAATCCCAGCTACTCAGGGGGCTGAGGCAGTGGAATAGGTTGAACATAGGGGAAGGAGGTTGCAGTGAGCTGAGATTACTCCACTGCACTCCAGCCTGGGTGACAGAGAGAGACTCTGCCTCAAAATACTATAATAATAATAATAAAATAAATCATAACAAAGAGGAATTCACAAAGGAAAGGAGAAAATATTTTGACATAAATATAAATTAAAACAATGTATCAAAATGTGTGGCTATAGCTGAATCAGTACTTGGAAGGAAATTCATAGTATTAAATGCTTATATGAGGAAAGAATAAAATCTCAAATCAGTGGTTCAAGGTTTTATGTTAGGAAGCAAGAAAATGGGGAACACCTTAAAATCAAATCAGACATACACATAAAGAAACAATGAATAGTAAAACTGAAAGGACACGAATTATACAAATTATCGATATCTAAACATAAAAAGGACATCATTGCAACTACTACAGACATTAAAAAGGGCAATTAGGAAATACTAGGAGCAACTTTGTAGAGAGATAGAAACCAAAAAGAAACAGTAAACTGAAAACTTTAAGGATAAAAATCCAACATAAATTCAGCAAATGGAAGATACAAACTACCAAAGGTCACTCATGAAGAAATAGATAACAAGAATAGTCTTACAACAAGTTAACACATTGAATTTATATTTTCAAACCTTTTTAATGAAGCATGGCCCAGATATCTTTACTGGTTAATGAAATCAATCATTTAAGGAAGGAATAACATCAATTATTTTTGTGCTTTTCCAGAATATTGGAGAGGAGGAAATACTTCCCAATTGATTTTACAAGGCCAGCATAACTTAGATACCAAACCAGACAAAGACATTATAAGAAAACAAATCAACATGCCAATATACTTTATGAACATAGTTTTTTTAAACAAAATGTTAGCAGTTGAATCCAGAAATACAAAAATAATAATATACCATGATTGAATAGAATTTAGCCTTGAAATGAAGGGCTGGAACAGCAGTAAAAAATCAAATAATGAATTTCGCCATATAAAAAACTAAAGGAAAAAAATGTGATCAGGCTTGGCAGGACATGAGGGAGGAGAAATGGAGAGAAGTTGGTTAATGGGTACAAATATACATTAACATAGAAGGAATAATTTCTAGTACTTGATAGTACAGTAGGGAGACTACAGTTAACACTAATTTACTATATATTTTAAAATAGCCAGAAAAATTGGAGTACTCCCAACAAAAAGAAAAGATAAATGTTTGAAGTAATTAATAGAGGCAAAAAAATTTTGCAGAATTCAGCATTCATTTATTTTTATGCATTTATCATTTTAAAAATGAAGAAAACCAGAAATATAAAGGAATTTCCTCCACTTGATAAAGAGAACCTGCAAAGAACACACACACACACACACACACACTCTTCATGGTAAAAAACTGAATGACTTTCTCCTAAGACAGGTGAAAAGGCAAGATGTCCACTTTCAACAATTCTATTGAATATTATATTGAAAGCTCTAGTTAGGGTAATAAAACAGGGAAAAATAAATGAAAGACTACAGATTGGAAAGGGGAAGATGAAACTCTATTACAGATGACAAGACTACTTATGTAGAATTTCCTGCAGATTCTACAAATAAAAGATAGAATAATTGCAGTAGGCTATAAGTTCCATACAGAAAAATCAATTGTAATTCTATATAATCACTATAATCAATAGAAAGTTAAGATGTAAAACAAATTACCATTTACAACAGCACCAAAAGCTGAAGTGTGTTTGTAGAAGCCTAAAATGTTGTGCAAGAACTATATACTGAAAACCATCAAATATTGATGAACTAAATCAATGAACTTATAAATAAATGAAGAAATATATCATGTTAATAAACCTGAACACTCGACATAGTAAATTGGTTTATAATTTCAAGGTAAGTCCAGTCAAAATGTCAGCAGGATTCTTTGCAGACATTGACAAGCTGATTCTAAAATTTTTATGAGAAGACAAAGAAGTGGTCCAGCCCGGTGGCACACACCTGTCATTCCAACACTTTTGGAAGCTGAGGCAGGCAGATCAATTGAGCCCAGAAGTTGGAAGACCACCCTGGTCAACATGGCGAAAACCTGTTTCTACTAAAAATACAAAAATTAGCTGGTGTGGTGGCATATGCCTGTAATTCCAACTACTTGGGAAGCTTTGGCATGAGAATCGCTTGAACCCAGGAGGTAGAGGCTGCACTGAGTCAAGACTGGGTCACTGTGCTCCAGCCTGGGTGGCAGAACAAGATGCTGTTTCAAAAACAGCAACTACAGCAACAACTTAAATTAAATTAAATTAAATTAAAGACAAAGAGCTAGAATAGACAAAATTATTTTTAAAATAATAGTTAAAGGAATCATACTACTTGATTTCAAGACTTTCTGTGACGCTATAATGACTGTAGAATATTTGCAAAAGTACAGAATTAACTCAATGAAACAGAATAGAAAGTCTAGAAATAGAGCCATTAATATATGGCCAAATGACTTTTGAGGAAAGTAAAATTGATATTATTTTCCACATATGTGGGTGGAACAATTAGATATTTGCATGGAAGAAAATCTGACTTATATCTTGTACTGTATACAAAAATTAACTCGTAATATAACATAGGCCTACATATAAAACCTAAAACTACACCATTTCTAGATTATATGAGAAAATCTTTGTTAATGTGAATTAAATATCTATTAGATGAAACATCAAAAGTATGATCTATGAAAGAAAAGATGACAAACTGAATTTCACCAAAATTTTTTAAATTCTGTTTTTTTAAGACACTCTTAAATGACAAGATTAAAAAAATACAAAACACATATTCTGATAAAAAAAATATCTATTCATACAGAAACAGCTCTCAAAACTCAATAAACAAACACCAATTTAAAAATGGGCAAAAGTTTGAAGAAATACTTTACCAAATAAGATAGATGGCACATAGCACATCAAAATATGCTCCACATTATAATTAAGTGCAAATTAAAACCACAATGTGGTATCACTAAATATATATTAGAATAGCAAAAAAAAAAAAAAAAAAAAAAAAATGTGCTGCTGGGAATAAGAAGCAGCTGGAACTTTTATACATTGATGGTTACACTAAATCTGAATTACAGTTTAGAAGCTTTTTGTAACGTTAAGCATGTACTTATCATATGACCCCACAATTTCGTAAGTGAAATAAAACTTATGTTTGTCTGAATCTTGTATGTGAATATTTATAGCAGCCTTATTTTTAATCCCTGAAAACCTGGAAATAATGCAATTTACTTTCAATAATGAATGGATAACCAATCTATTATACACTCATAAAATCAAATACTACTCATCAAGAAAAATAAACTTACACATGATAAAAATTAATCTCTAATGTATTATGTTAAATAAAATAAACTGAATTAAAATGGCTACATGTTACATAACTTTATTTGTTGATATTCTGGAAAACGCAAAATCATGGAACAGAAATTTGTTCAATGAGACCACCATGGATGACTGAATGGGTTGGACGATGAGACCATTTCATGTAGATGAGAGGTAACTCTACCTCTTATAAAGTGAGAGAAGGTTGATTGTGAAAGAAGAATTGAGGACTCTGTGATAACAGGTGCATTCCTCTGTTGATTATTTTTCGGAGTATATAGGGACATTAAAGACTGGACACTGTTCACTTTAGAACTGTTTGATCTTGCACATCTCTTGGAATGTCTTTGTTGTACCCTTAAAGGTACATGCAGGCTAGCTGATCACCACTACTCCAGTGTATTAGCCTGATTAAATGTCCCTATGCAAAGGCAAGTACAACTCTACCAATTAGCTACATTTTTATTTCTCCCAGGAGACTTGGAGTTCCTTAACAACAAAGATAATATATTATTTGTCTTCTATCATCTAGGTGTTATGCAAAGTCACAATAAACTTCACAAATATATGAATTGAGTGAGTGAATCTATAATTCTAATGACTCGAATGAAGCTTAGAATTTTGGTTAGCAATGAAAGAAATACGTCACGCACTTGCTGAGGTCTATGGTTCACAGAACCCCAACGTACATCAAGAACTATATCAAAACACCTCATGTACCCTTCAAATATATACACCTACTATGTACCAACAAAATTTTAAAAATAATAAAGCTCTGAAAATAATTAATCAAATTACAAAAAAAATTAATCAGATTACATAGATGTGGTTAATTTTGAAATTGTTGCTTTTTCATGACTATAAACATTTCTTATAACAAAATATTACCTGATTTATTGACACATTCTTTTCCAAGTAGTTTGTTCACAGTACAATAGAAGTTATCGGTGCAAAGACACTCTTTAAATCGGAAATTGCTTTCCACTAAGTACTGGATACTCAGGTTACAGTATGCTGAATTCTTCATCTTGCAGGGGTCACCTGGATCTTATAATCAAACACATAACACTATAGATATGAATCTTATTATAATTTTGGACTCTTCCTCCCCAAAGGACTTTTAACATATTAATCTGAATAATTAATTAATATGGTAAGATTATCTGGGGTTGCTGCAGGATGCCCATTTAAGTGACTTTAAAAAAAAAAAAAAACATGTATTTTCATTGAATATTTTCCATAATGTACTTTCTATATTAAAACTTGCTGCATTTCGAAATAGCTTTTTCCTACCTAGAACATCATTTCTTGCTTTTCAGTAAAAATAAGGCTACTCTTACACGAGGTGACCAGAATGCTTTCTAATCTTAGTGTTTTATCAGCTTATCTATTTTATTAGCTATTTTGTCATAATCTGATCTTTCATTTTCATGTCATTGTAAGACTATAGTAAGAGGAGTGCAAGTGGCTTTAAATTTATCATTAAAAATTATGTGGTGCTGGCACATAGCACTCAACAAATATTATTGAATAAGTCTTTGATAATTACCAATATTTCTTTTTCTGAATTAATTTAAAAATATATATTCCTCTACCTGAACATTTTCTTTTAATTATTCTGAATAAAAATACTTGAGTTTATTTCATTTGTACATTTGAGAATATGTATATTTCAGCTTCATACATAAAATAATTATGCAAATATTATTGCAATTTACTTCAAATGACTTGCTATTTGTAAACTGAAATTAATAAATAAGTTACTATTTGTGATGCCTAAATATAATATTTTGACAGCATATTTTAAATTGCCTTATAAAATGCAGCAAGAAGTTTAATCATCAAAATAAATAGATTACACAATGTTCTACTGTATAAATTGACTCTGTTCTACTATAGAGTTTATTATATTTACTTTTAGTGAAAGGAGTCTTACCATAATGCTCTCATTCAATGCTTATTTAGCTACTTGAATATTCAAAATATATATATTTTTTCTTTTTAAGGAAATACAGGCTGGGCACAGTGGCGCACACCTGTAATCCCAGCACTCTGGGAGGCCGAGGCGGGCAGATCATGAGGTCAAGAAATTGAGACCATCCTGGCCAAGATGGTAAAACCCTGTCTCTATTAAAAATACAAAAATTACTATGTGGTGGCGCGCACCTATAGTCCCAGCTACTCTGGAGGCTGAGGCAGGAAAAAGAATTGTTTGAACCCGAGAGGTGGAGGTTGCAATGAGCCAAGCTCCAGCCTGGCAACGGAGCTATACTCTGTCTGAAAAAAAAAAAAAAAAGAAGAAAGAAAAACAAAAGAAAATAGCAGTCACTCTCCAATCTTCACATTCTCAACTCTTGAACCTCCCCACAAATGTTTGGAAGGTAGCACAAGCCAAAAACAAAACTGTAGCTTTACTTGTTCTTGACATAGAATTGAAAATACTGTATATATGTTTCAAGAATATAAAATGTACATTATACATGGACAAATACACAATTATTATAACAAATCTTATTTTTTCTGTTTTATCATTGACATATATAATCAAAATAACCTTTTATTTGAAAAAAAATACTGCCATGGTTCTGAGAAGAATGCATAAAATTGTAGCATTATACATGGCGTGAGAGGTAAGAAAATAATCTGAAACCTTGAATAATGCTGCCCTCAGCATCAGTAATTAAAGCACTTTAGTAATTAAGAAAATCCCTTTGTAATTAAATTTGCTAACACATGATTAAAAGTGAATCGATTGGGGGTCAAGACTGAGTAAGATACTTAGAGAAAAACTTAGTTCTTAGGATAATAACAGAATATCAAATCCTATTTTTATCTTAGTAAAATAAATCATTTGAGTGTATTCTTAGCAACTTGTTTACCTGAATCATTGCAGGCATCTTCCATTATTCTCCAAGCATGTTTACATCCATTTGTATCATGTAGGCATTGCTCTCTTAAATATGTGCAATTATTGGTTTGGGAAGTGTATTCATTTTCCAAGCTTAGCCCCAAAGCTTGAATAACAACAACAACAAAAACAAGTTTGTAATATAAGTTTGGCATCCATTTTCTTCAAATATAAGTTATTCATGATAAGGAGCAGAATTATGGAAAACAACATGTAGTGAAATTATTGATGGTAGGAATAACCTTAACCTCCTCTCTAGCTGTAGATCTATACTTCTTTCTATAGATTCTTAAATGAATTACTTTAAATTTGCTCATTTTGACTTCTCATCATCTATTCTTCAATTATAAATTATTTTTATTACTATTGTTCCATTAAAACTGCTCTTAAAAATGTCTCTACCCCTTTAAAGTCTAACTTAATGGTTTCAAACTTTATCTTGCCAGTGAGCATTTTGTTGACTTTTTGTTTTTGAAACTTTTCCTTTGCCAGTCCTCCCTTCTTGTTCTCTTGATACTTATCCACTTTGTATTTTCTGACCACAGCTAAAATTCTTCCCAGGATCATTTTACTTTTCTAGTAAAGTACAATTTTAGCTTAGGTTCTCTTCTCAGACCTCTTCTATTTTCATTTTATACATTCTCTGCAGAAAATTCCATGTACTCTTATGGTTTGAACTAAAGTCTGATGATTCTCAAATGTATAATTCAATCTCAGTATTTCCAGTGTTCCAGTCATAGATACGTAATTGTTGTCTCTACCTGAATGTTTCAGAAACACTTTCACAGGGTCTTCATCATCATTGTTCCACTGTGGTCCACTCTACTTCATCCACAATGCCACAATTAATATAAGCACCAAAACTAGAAATCTTGGTTTTGTGGTGGACTATTTTCCATTCTAACTTCACTCTCCCATATTCATTCTTGCTAAATTTGTTGACTTTCACTTTGAGCATTTGTTTAACTTATTAGTCAGTCTACCTCCAGTTTGAATCTTATTCAGAACCTTATTCAGATAGGCTCTGTATAACCCCTAATCTACCTAATGCACTATTCTAGTCTTGCCATTTTTCTGTTTATATCCTTTAAACGATTTCTCATATCAGGGCTCTCATATTCCTCACCATGTGCAATCTGGAAGACCTCAAGCATTTATCATTTCCCAAATGATCCATGTTGTCTTACACCTCTGCGTACATACTGTCTGGTTCCTGATGAGCATTTTCTTTCTTTTTCTTCTGGAATAACCCTTTTTGTTGTTTAAAACTGAACACAATTATTAGCTATTTTCTGGAAACTTTACTTGAATTCTATCCTCCCCTTTTTCCACACTTAAAATGAATTTGACATCTTTCATCCACTTACTAGAACTGTAGGGATCCCCCAATTACAGAATGTACTGTTCCGTAGTGTATATATTCATGTGCTTGTTTCCACCACTGGATTGTACAGCTTCACCCACAGACATTAAGGATAATTTATAACTGTATTTTTGTCATCAAACACAATTATGCAGTATAGGTATTCAATAAATGAATACTGACTTATACCCAACTTATTAGTTGTTTATATATAAGATATATAAAAATAACTGATAACATCTAAAAAAATAATACCTTCCAGATATTTACAAGTTACTTTTGCTAGAGGAGAAATACAGCAAATTTTCCAAAAACAAGCAAGAAAATAGCAATGTTAATTTAATGTGTTACATAAGTTAGTCAAATTGATTCTGCACACATATGAACTGACACTAGCCAAATCAATTAATAGAAAAAAATATGGGGATTGCAGTTGTGTTACAGAGATAGTTACAGTAACTGTCATCAAGAGAGTCAAGCTATAACTAAATAAAAGTGAAATTATTTGAATTTTTAAATGCTGTTGTTAATCATGAATCACCTGTGACAATATAGAGTGATCGGCTTCAAGTAAGGCCTCGAAATCTTTTTTTTTTTTAAATCTTACCTCTTTCCAAATCTCATCTTATAAGAAGAATCCAAGACAACTGATTGGACCATATGTACTACTTGCTGGGTCACTGCACTTGGAGATTAGGCCCATGGGTGTAGCTTGGTAACATTTTCCTTGCTGAGGGCTGGAGTGGAAATGGACATATCAGCTTTCTGTTTTCTCATGTGTTCATGGACAACCACATCTAGCTAAGCCCTTGTACTCTTTAGTTGGCAAGCCCAGAGAAAGAAAAAGACGATCCTTTTGATCCTAGCCCAAAGTTACTTGGTCAAATCCAGTTTTCCAAAGACCCAGAAATAGGAATTTGAAGTCATAAACTCAACTTATAAGAAAATGGTTATTAATGCCATTAATCATTATATCTCGTGAAAAGCCCCCTCAAGAATCTTATAAGTGATAATTTCCTGGATATATCAAAATTTCATCAGTACTTCAGAGCAATAATCACTTGGAAATACTACATGTTATCTTCCCCAATTATGTTTTACTTCCTTACACATTTTCAGTTTTTGGTTGAACAAGCTACTTAATAGATTATTTTATAGGATTTTCCACACCTTCTACTCAGACAAAATATTGACTCAGCTAAGAAAACCACCTCAATGATTTGGTCCACAAGAATCAGAAATATAACTTTACCTTTCCAAAATCTGCCTTATTCATTCCTGACTATGATTTGTGATTTTATATTTAACCTAGGATTTTTCAAGAATTTTCCTGCAATGCTTAATGAAAAATAACTTCTATTTTTGGATAATGCTGCAAATTATATCACTCTTTTAAAGACGTATAGGACTCATTATCCTATTAAATGGTCTGAGTTTTTAAAATTCATTGTTTTCCACATTTCTTTGCCAACAGACATTTTCCTCATTATAAGACCTATTTAATGTCAAACAAGCATTCTAAAAAATATAATATGGGAAATGTTGGTACAACCTATCAAATAGTATAATTTTAGTTCTAACAATGTTAAGAAATTATTTCCCTCCTTCATGCAACCTGGCGTCAAGTTAATTTAGAAGTAAAAGATGAAAATAAGAGGCCATTGCCTTTTCAACTGAGGTCATAATGAGTCTGTAATGTATTTTGTGAGCTTCATTATGTTGCTGCCTGATCTATAAAAATTATAGTTTCCTATATTTCTCTTTACAACAAAAAAGAACTTTAGAAATATTAACAATCTTTATAAAAATAAGAAAATATTTTAGGAATAATTACAAAAAGCAAACTTCTGGAACAATGGAAGACTATTACTTAAACCAAAGAAAAACTGAAAATATATAAGGGATTTCTCTCCTTAACTTGTTTCCTTGACTTGATATGACTCTCCTTTTATTTTCAATACAATTTAAAGTAAACATTGCTTTCTTGCCCACAAGTATGCCTTTATTCATCAAGTGTATATTAGTTTAAAGGTAAAATGTCATATTTTTAAAATTACTATCTAGCTACAATTACAATTATTCCTTTTCTGAATTCAGTTTATAGATTCTACCAAATGCTAAAGAAGCTATAAAATATTCTCCAGTCACACATCTAGCAAATACATTTCCATGGGTTCTGCATTAAATAAAAATAAATTATTTTTCATCAACACCTTATAATACATTCATCGGCTCCAATACACGAGAAGTAAGTCCACACTTGAGTTCTAGATCATAAAAATTAATCAAAATATGAAGCATTTTGATATGGTGTTAATTTGTTTTATTTCACTAAATTACTTCTAGTTAGCAAATATTAACACTGTAGGTAAACTGAATGGTTTGAATTAACCTTATTTTTATTAATAAAATAAAAGCAAAATAAATAAAATAGATAATAGTTTGAAATTTTTCATCTTATAACTTGTAAAAAGATACTGGAAGGTTTTATTTCTAAAAGGTTCTAACACATGTGTGAATTCCATCAATCCTAATAAATAACTCAAAGTCATTGGGTTACTTTATACAATAAGACAGAAACAAGCTGAGAGATTAATGCAATTATCATATTCTGCATTATCCATAGAGTTAGAAATAAATGAGTAAAAGTGAGCGTACATTTTTGCAAGAGGAATAAACCATGGTAAAGTATAAATTTGTAATTTACTTGGTACTTCATATTATAAACTCCTGTTAAGCTTAAGTGTAATAGTGTTCAGTTTACAAAGAATTAGCATTATGAATAATTCGGATAAACCAGAAGCACCATTCACTTACCCAAGAAAATAAGCACTATCATGCTGGACAACTCACGGCTGTTCACCTGGAAAAAAAGGCAGATGTGTTTCTTCTGACAACTTTCTTAACAGTAACTGTACAGAATAAGGCTTCAGCCTCGGTGTTTGCTTCCTAAAGGCATTACCAGTTCAAGTCAGCTTCCTGGGTCATTTCCTCCCTAGTGTTTCCTAAGCTGTGAACTGTTCTAATTATATTCAAATTCAATTATTCTCCTGAGGGTGCTGGTCTTGGATAGTAGGATATTATGCCTCGAAGAAAGCCCATGAGCCAAATACTAAGAGAAATGACACATAATCTGCACATTCACGAAAAAGGTTTACTTTCCTTAACTAAAATACTACACTACTCAAAAGCCTCCCAAATATGACCCCAAATTTTCACAGACACTTGGGCATACTCAGTTTCCACTTTTCTAATTAGCCTCATTAAGGCAATTTCATGTCATTTGAGGAAACAGAAAAGCAGAAAAGGCATAATAGCCCTGGAAAATGTATGTGAAATCCAAGTTATACTAGAATTAGCCTGATATACCTCATACATACTGGGAAGCTGCTTCCCAAACTATGTTGTATTACATGTGCCACAAACTCCAGTATGCTTAAAAATTATGCCACTTCAGCTACAGTATCTAATACCCTCCAAATACAGCTACAGTGCTAAAAAAAAAAAAAAAAAAAAAAAACAAACAAAAAAAAAACAAAACAAAACAAAAAAAACCTCTTCCCAGTGATGCAGAAATTTCATGTTCCACTGGAAAGATAATCATCTACATTTGTGCTCATCCCTTGACAACTATTTTTTTTCCTAGTTTCAATGAAGGGACTTATTTATCTTATGTCTTAGTTTGGCTATGACCTTCTTCATGTAAACCTACAGCATATCATCTTTCTCGGGGTGCCATGAGA